TTTTTTTTTCCAAATTTATTCCACAAAATGAATGAGAACTTTAATTATAAATTATGAATGAGGGCCTCCTTACAAGTAGACTTGGCCACAATTCAAATCGGCCCGCCGATCTAGTCTTGAATTGGCCCGATAAGACTATTGATGATGCATGCCTTGAAATGGCCCGTAGTTTTACTCGTGTCAGTTCAAGTTCATGTTTTTTAATACGTCAAATTGTCTTGAACCGTTTTTCCTGAACCGGTTTACTCCTCGTTGAATGCCAATAACTTGCAAAACACGTCGGGAGTGATCCCGACGTAAACACTCCGACGCTCAAATCAATGGATATCCGAGTGAAACCACAACATAAAGAGACAAAGCATTTACTATGTACATATGTTGTTGTGTGAAAGTAAAGGAACCTGCTTTTATATAGACCCCAGTGGTTGAGTCTGAAAGACTTTTTCTGATGTAGTTGAGAATCCTTCACGCTTCTGTCTCTCAACAATGCATATCTTATACCGAATCTCAAAATTCCTATTGTCTCCAACTCTTCTGACCTCCAGGGATCAGAATCCTCTGATCACACGAGATCGCCACATCACGACAGTCGACCATCCCGTTGGTTAGCTCAGCTACCCTCAAGCGGAGTACCTCGGCTACCTCACTAGTCCGAGCTCCTGCAATATCGTCTCGAATTTAGGTCTATTGATATCTGCAAATCCGAGCTAAATCCAAGTTCAACCTCATCACCCTCTCCGCCGAGCTCACCATACATAACTCCCATGCCGTAGCTATCAGGCCAAAACATCCGCACATATTTGTCGAGTTCCACCACCAAGCTCGGCCTACAATCACCCGGCACTATCGAGCAAATGAAGTACCGCGTCGGCTGACTTTTCCTCTTTTATACTTATCCTCTTTTATACCTTACTTTGTTATATCGTATCACTTGTTTAAAAAAAAAAAAATAATCGAAATTGGAACCGAAACTCCAATTCGACACTCAAATTCTAATTTAAAACTAGATTTTTTTGATTTTTTTAGTTATTTTTTAATATGTTTATCATTATTTTTTCATTTCTCCAACTGGCCTTGCCGTTTGAATTGGACCTTAGTCTTTCCCGAGCCGGTTTCGGTTCACTAAAATAACGAACTTGAATTGGCGATTTCGAACCATATAACAGGCCCGGAACTAGGTTTTGGCCACATCTGTTTACAAGATTACATTTTGCTATCATCAAAAGTGGATAATATTTTGAAAAATTAAAAGATGACAGAAAATTATGTGAAAATTTTTTGTTTGTTAACTTAAAAAGTGATCTTATAAATTATAATAGTATACCAAAACATTAATAAGTTGGCTTAATCCTCGTTTTACCAACCAAATCACCACTTGTTGGTATATGACTTGTTTGTAATTTTGTCAGTGTGAAGCAAAATCGATGGAAAAATATTTATTAAGTGCTCACCAAAGGATTTTTCAACTAAAAAATACATTATAAATATCGTTTTGACTTTTGTGATTCATCCATTTTGTTATGTATCTAGACATATTAATGTCTAGATACATAATAAAATGGATGAATCAAAAAAGTCAAAACAATATTTATAATGAATAGGAGGGAGTACTATAGTATATTAGAATAGGAAGTTATGAAGGGTCACTCTTACTATTTTTAGTAACCAAATTTAATTAATAATATTGCATGGTCTGATGGTCCCAACGTTTGTTGCTAAAAGCCTAAAACCAATAAAAAAAATCATTAATGGGATATTGCTATTTAATTTTTTCTTTTTTAATGCTTTCGTAAGACGTGTTTGGACTTATATGCTACTCGAGCGGCCCAATGGCCGTGTGCCCAAATAGGCCCATTCATATTAGTGGTATTTACTTATTTACCCCCCTAAAATATTATTTTGAATAAAAATAAAAATCTTATATAAATGCACAGGCAAAATTACAAAAATGATACACTAAGTTGGTCGTTGTCAACAAAAGAGACACTATATTGTCACTCATGGAAAAGATACACTTAGTTGGCTTTTTGCACGAAAAAAGATACATATTTACAAAAATGATACACTAAGTCGGGCATACGTAATCCAAAGTCAGACATAAGTGATACACTTAATGTATCATTTTTGTAAATATGTATCTTTTTCGTGCACAAAACCAACTAAGTGTATCTTTTCCATGAGTTACAACATAGTGTCTCTTTTGTTGACAACGACCAACTTATTGTATCATTTTTGTAATTTTGCATAAATGCACAAGTTTTATGGCACGACCGGTTAGAAAGAGAAAGAGAGAGAGAGAGAGAGATTGACATATTAACATTTGGTAAGTTTAATCTTATCATACTGCAATTATCGAGTTTTTTTATCACTAATAAATCGACAATTATAAATATAGCAAGTTTGTATTAATCAAATAATAAAAAATCCATAACTATATATAGTGCATTCAAAATATTATTTTGTGTGGGGCTATATAAAATGCCGATGAGAAAGAGAGAAAGCACATACGCCTTGTCATTGAAAAACAAGCGTATTGTCAATTTTGATTTCACTGTTTAGGGGATGCTAATGCTTTCACTAAAAAATATATACACATTCTTATACCAATTGTTTGATAATGTTAGAGACGGGGCGGTCCCACGCAGTACGCCTTGTTATTGAAAAACAAACGTATTGTCAATTTTGATTTTACTATTTAGGGGAATGCTAGCGCTTTCACTAAAAAATATGTACACATTCTTATACTAATTGTTTGATAATGTTAGAGACGGGGCGGTCCCACGCACATGAAGCGCACCAAGACATGAAAAAAACTCAGATGAAGCTCAAATGAGGTTCTATCCCCAAAACTAATTGGTGGAAGAAGAAGTAGCCTATTAAACTTATCAATTAGACTTATTTTTCCTATATAAACAATGTGAGACAACTCACAAGCAAATATTCTAATCGATAGCATTAAATCCTAGGTTTGACCTGCCATGCATGGTCACAGATCATACCCTTAACAGATCGAAGAGCAAAAAAAGAGAAAAAAAATATATTGATAGTTAAAAATTAACTGGTATAAGTACTATATTTTCCAAATGGTAATAAGTCATGAATATATATTTTTCAAGCAATAAACTTTGTATGATCAAACTTTAGACCAGTTGAAAAAAAATAAAATAAATAACAGCCCTAAAATAAATAATTCGTAAATATGGCAAGTTTAGATGCTATCATGGATGGAGTCTGTTAAACGCAACTAGTCGTTCATGAGCTCAACTTGTTCTCGTTTGATAAACGAGTCAAATTCGAGCTCGTTGAAAGCTTGTTTAATTGATGAGCTCTCAGCTCGATTCGATATGGTTCGATAAGACTTGAAAAATAATTTTTTATATATTTTTTTTATAACTCGGCTCGTTGAAATTTGAGTTCGACATGTTAATATTGATAAAGGAACCAAGCTTGAACACAATTACTGACTTTGTTAAGTTAACGAGATGATATGAGTATGGTCCGACCCATTTACATTTCTAAGCCTAGATAGTAATCTATAGGATGTATAGCCATAAATTTGCACACATATACACACTCTACCAATTACAGTCCCATATTCGCACACATGTACGCACGCATATATGATATATATATATATATATAAAAAAATTTTTGATTATTTTTAAAATAGTAACTATTTCTCGCCAATTAAATGTTGTTTGATAATTTTGGAAACTATTTACATTTTATGGTATGTTTTAAACATACAATTTAGGTAATTGCGGCTAATTTATTAAGGTAATAAATCATGTAAGAATTTCATTTGTATCCCTAGATATTCGTATCATATATAATACATATATATCATATATTTTACTTAAAATATCAAGATCTATCACATCCCTAACAAACATTAGATTTACTTATATATTTTAAAATAAATCACATTAATAAATAATATTAATATACATTAAATATTTATCATTATATAAAATAGGAATATTACTTTTGTAAATGTTATAAATAGTATTGACATTATAAGACAATATATTTTTAAATAAAATAGTATTTGAGTATTATGATAAACCAAAATATGTAAAAATTATTATTTTTTGTTTTAAAAACTAGATATATATATATATGTTAAAATGTTATTTATATTGATATAAACGGATCAACGGGCTAACACATTGTTAAAATAAAATTTTGCAAAAATATTTTAAGTTACGAAATCCCCGTGCATCGCACAGGATTCTCACTAGTTTTGTATTAAAATAATATTTAAAATATAATGACTGAAGTTGATTTGATGTAAAATTAGGAGATGCGATTGAAATGTGATGAGTAGTTTAAATTATGTGAATGAATGAATTGTAGTTGATGTGATGCGTGGGATGATTGATTGATATATTTTTATTATATAACTAATATTGAAGATGGTTGGATTGAATTAAATTTAAATTATATTTTAATCATTACATTTTAAATATTCTTATAACACAAACTTAAAATATCACTCAATCCTTCATGGAATCAATTTGAAATTAATTCACTTCAATGAACAAAAAAACCAATAGGTGAAGTATGATTGTAGGCCTCCAGGGCGTGAGGTCAAGTGGTGACTGGTGGAAGGTGAAACTCCCTTTGAAGCAAAAGATCACTAGATCGATCCTAACTATCGTGGAAAGCGTGAGTGGGGCATTGCACTCTCACAGGGAGGATTAGTCCCACCCTTTGCGTAGGGATCCACTAGACGTGATAAGCTCGTACCGTCAGTTAGTGGACTGTAGTAGGTGGTGAAGTCGTGGAATAAATGTGGAGATACCTCTTAGTCGATTAAAAAAAAAAGCATGATTGTGGTGTTTTCCTTTGTGCTATCTCCCTATTTACTCCATGGATAAGAATCAAGAATACAGATAAGTGTATTCAAACCCAAATTAGT